CCCCAAAACCCCAAAACCCCAAAACCCCAAAACCCCATTACTAAAACTCGTGTTTGAAAATATACGAATTTTAATCTGATTCTTCAGACTCCTCTTCTTCCTCCTCATCACTTTCTTCTCCTTGATTTTTGAGATGATCTACAAATCCTTTACTTAGCTCAAGGAATTTAGCTCTTAATTCATGAGAGTTGACAACTTCTGTCTCATACCATTTGATGATCTGCTCATCTGAAAGAAGTTTTCCCTTCCAGCACATTTGGAGTAACAAATGGAATCCTGAGTTCAGGCTGGGATGATCTATTCAACATTTCTCAATACTTTCCATAAGCGTTGCCTGGTCATTCTCTGTGATTAAGTAGTTTTGAATTAGCTCAGCATAATTAGCGATGTTTGTATGAATAGTACCAATCATTTTCTTTATATCTTCTTCTCCACTCTCCATTAAGATATTAATAAGCCCAACAAAAATGGCATTCACACACTCTGAGTTTGATTTATGCTTTGAGAATTTTATGGAATTGACTTCAACTCTAACAGAATCAACCTGATGATCTTCATCTCTTTGTCTCTTAATGATAGCCTTGACTTCGTCTTCAAATGTAACTTCAAAGACTTCATCGGAGTCTTCATCTGTTTCATCTTCAATGAGGTCACTTTCGTCTGTGTCATCACCGTCAAGATTTTTGCCATTTGAATACACTAATTTGATAGTCTCGTAACTGTTTTCTCCATCCTTGTTAATGACCAAGCTGTCAGAAATTACTGCATCATTTTGGATGCTTACTCCAGGAGCAAGAATACAGTTAGAAATACTTCAGTTCTGGCCAATAGTGTTATTCCCGTAAAGAATACTTTCTGTAATCACACTCATTTCACCGATGAGACTGCTTGGACCAATGCATGAGTCCTTGATTGTTGCCAAAAAGTCAACAACTGTCTTATCTCCCACACAGAATGAGCCTATTTTATCATTATTTCCTTTAAATTGGCAGCTTCCCTGCTGATTAATGATTAAACTTCTATACTCAATGAAAGAGCTCGAGTCAATGATTTCGCCTGGAGATAGAGGGAAGCTCTTTCTCTGAATCACATCCATACAGGTTTGAAAATACCCCTGGTAAGAATTGACCCTTGAGAAGTATTTATCACCTCTAATCTCATATAAGAATATTTTATCCACTATAATCTCTGATTCAGTGACATTGTTGATGAAGTCATCTCTGAATTGCTCATAGTTGGAATGTTCTTCGAGGATACTAACCAAAGCTGGAGAGACGATGTCAATATCACAATCAACAAGGTCCATTCTGATATCTAGCTCAGAATGGTACTTCTTCTTAAATTCAAAGAACTCATTTACATTTGAAGTCTTTTTGTCAGCAATACTTTCATACTTCATGATTTGGTTAGTTTTACAATCTTCTACTATTAAAAGAAGGTCTTCCTTGCTCCTGGTCCTTGACTCAAGAGGAACGCTGAAAAAGATTTTAGTCATGATCATTGGCACATCGTCTTTCTTTCTCTTCTCATGAGCTTTGATAGCTTCTGAGATGTCAATATTTGTGATATTGTGGCTGTTTATGAGCAGAATATCACTTTTGAATTGGTCCATTCTGTCCATATCTTTGAAGGCAGAAGTAACAGAGGGTTTGTCACTGCATTTCACTAAAACAATTTCAATATTCTCCTTCTTGTGTGACACTATGTGTGAAGATATTTTATCATAGTGTTCATAAGCATAGATAGTCAGCTTCTTTATGTGATTGAATATTAAGAACTCCACTGTATAAGATATTAAAGGTATATTCACAACTGGCATTAAGCATGATGGCTCTGAGAGATTCAATGATTTGAATTCTTCTGTAAAACTGTCTGCTATCATGACAGCCTGAAGATTTTGCGAGTCTTCCATTTTTTAATTATTATTATAGGCTAAAAATTACCATCCATCTTCATGTTTTGTTCCGGGGTTTTGGGGTTTTGGGGTTTTGGGGTTTTGGGG